TCTATCTATCTATCTATCTATCTATCTATCTATCTATCTATCTATCTATCTGCTTTTTGAGACAGTCTCCTTACATAGCCCAGGCTGACTTTGAACTCACTACGGAGCCCAGGTTGGTCTCCAACTGGTGGCAATACTGCCTCGGTGACCTGAGTGCTGTAATTACAAGCATTGTCCCACTATGCCCAACTTGGGGAACCACAGGTCCAGAGATATATAAGCTGTATAGATTCCGGTACCACAGACAATAGTGTTCTAGGCTGGTATTTCTTAGAGTGACTAGTGATATCAGCATTATCCTGGAGTGCCACAGGAATGCAAAACAGCCACCATCAACTGATGACCTCTTGGGTTGAAACTTCATTTTAGCAAGATGCCCATAGGATCTTGTGTCTACACAGCAGAGCCCGAGAAGTGCTATTATAGGACCATGGTTCCTTCAGGTCAGGGGGTTTGCTAGTCTTTGTTTCCCGGGGGGGGGGGGGGGGGATTCTGCTCCTGGCATACAATAGGTGCGCAACCAATAGGAAGAACAGGAAACAGCAGGATATAAACAAATAAACAGACAAGGAAAGAAGGGCAGGGCCAGGCTTGTTTTGGTTTTGGTTTTGTTGTTGAGACATGTCTCACAAATCCCAGCTGGCCTAGAACTTACTATTTTGCCAAGGGTGACCATGAACTTCTGATTCTCCTGCCTCCACCTTCTGGGTGCTGAGATTGTAGGCATGTGCCATCACACTTGGTTTATGTGATGCTGGAGACTGAACAAAGGACTGAGCTACACATTGTACAAGTACCCTACCTACTGAGCTACATGCTGGGCAAGCACCCTACAGACTGAGCTATACCATTACACTTTCTACAGTTTTTATGTTTATTTTTTAGTGCTCTATATCATACCCACGTGTTAAGCAAGCACTCTACCCCGGAGCTACACCTCCAAGCCCTCTTTTTTTTTTTTTCAAGGAAACAGTAACAGTTTGCCATGGGAGGAAGGAATTACAAATCACATGCAAACTCCCTCTTATGCTCGGAGTAATCGCTGCTAATCTTCTGCAGTTTTGATACCTCGTTCAAGATTTTCTGAGAAGACATGAGCTTACTTTTATGTAATAAAGCTATACTTGGCACAAAGTATAGTTACATAAAGTATGTGCATATTCCTTGCATATTATTCTTTTAGCTTGTTTCGTTCACTGAAAAATGTTTAATGTAAATATTTCCAAGTCAATAAATATCCATCAGTTTACTGTTTCTTTGGTGTTCCTCTAAACGGCATTCCTTTAAACACTCCCCTCGCTTCGTTCTTGAATGGTGTCCATCTAGTTTTTATCCTGATGCTCACACGTATGCACACTTGTGCCCTTGGCTAATCAGTTCCCTAAAAAAAATGCTTCTAGGAGGAGTCTGTGCATCAAAAGGCAAATGGAACTTTTCAAACCTTTGCTCCACACACCAGACTATCCCCAGAGCGGCTTCTCCCTCAGAAGGTACGGTCCTTCCTTGTTGGGAAGTTTTCCAGAACAGATGGAGCTGAGTTTCAGGCTCAAGTACGTTTACATGCAGCCAGAAATGGCCGTAGGAGGCTGGTGGGTGTGTGGAGATGGCACCAACTTTGACTATAGTGGCAAGCCTGGTTAGCTTCTCACCAATTGTGTGACCTTGGACAAGTGACTTAATTTCTTTGAGGTTCTCTATTCATCTAAAGTGAAGCCATTGCTTTTTATCTTTCACTCTTGTAAAGGTTTAAAGATGACATATATAATAGTCTTGCAGAGGCCCTGGCATGGTGGCAAACACCCGTTAGCCCTAACACTCTAGAGGCAGAGGCAAGAGGATCTCTGAATTTGAGGCCAGCTTGATCTACATAGTAAGTTCTATGCCAGCCAAAGCCACACAGTGAGACCCTGTCAAGCAAACAACAGTAATAACAGAATAACAAATCCCAAACTTATAGAGTTGTGTACTAAATATTTCTTGAATGGATAATGTGAACTAATAGTTGAATGGAGAGGGGTGGGGAAGAGAAGGAAAGGGACAGAGAAAGAAAACACAGACATCCTAACAAATCAAGGCAAAGCATATTGACTGGACAGTTTATGCACTGCTTTCCCAGGATGAAGGCTGGCTTTTAGCGAAGAGTGAGAGAAAAGGAACAGAAAGAGATGGTCCATAATGAACAAACACTTTCTCTCTGTTCCAACTTGTTTCTTTTCTGAGAGTTGGTGGCTGGTGAGCCACTATGTCTCTGCTTCCTAACAGTGACCCGAAATCCAAGACAGAAGGCAACTGTTCCCAAGACAATGCCCCACACCCAGACAGCACTCAGCTTCCCAAGTGGGACCTGATCACACTGTATGAGTCTCTAATACCTTGACGGGCTTGCCACAGTCCATAGAAGGGACCCATGCTGCCTGCCAGCTCACACTTCTGAGCCCATGGGCCGTTGTCTCCTGGAAACCAGAAAAATAAATGGGAGACAGTCAGTGGGTGTCTGAGGGACACTTTTTCTGACCCCTTCTCTGGCCATACCTCTGTACACAGCCGGAATCAAACAGAAGGACAAACATGACCCCTACATTTGAAGTGTTGCTTGTAGGCATGGACATCAGTGCATGGCCACCATGTGTGGCCAAGGGCCCCTTCCTTTGCTTCTCAAGTGCTGGACTTGCATATCACCATTCAGGCAAAAGCCTGTCTCGGTTTTTAGTAGAGCCCATCTCTACTAAGCTCTCAGAGAGAGGAGGGCTTGCCCTGACCCAGTAAGCTCCATCTTAACGTCTGCTCTCACATCCCACTTATATAGTCTTAGCAATCCATTACTATCGTTAGTATGAACCCAGCAACCGTTCACTAAGCATCTCTGATGCTCCTAGAACTCCACACACAGCATCTTTCAACCTTACAGTAGGCAGAGGAGTAGATTCAACTCTCGCAGAAGCATACACACAAAACCAGGTTTCAACTTGATCCAAAGTAGCTGCCACTCTTCTACAGAGACCTGAGACATAAATTATCTGTGTAACCCCCCAACACACACACACACACACACACACACACACACACACACACACACACA